ACTCATTTCTTATAGTTAAAGTGTGTTTGGTAGATGTTGTTTTGTATTTGTATTTAAAACTTCTACTCTATTATTAGAATTTGTTTGAGTTTCTTTCGCAGATAAGATTATTCTTATGATTAGAATTGTATTGTAATTGAGTGTGAAGTGTAAAATATGAATGAATTCTTAGATTCTTGTAAATCTTGAAAATAAAAAAATGCCAACATAAATTTTTATAAAAAATACCAAAAAAGTGACATAAAATGTTTTGATTGTCAACTTCAAGGGATTATATATCCCTTGATAAAGATAATGTCTTCGCAATTTTAATTATACAATTGTTGTAAACATAAATTCATCAAAAGTGACACCTCAGAAAAGCTAAAATATTGAATTTTTGGAACTTTTGATAGAGCACGTTTTTAAATATTAATTTAAGTAAATGTATATTTTGTAAAGATTCTTTTTAATAAAAAAATAAAATTTTGAAGAAGAACACAAAATCTTCTGAAAAATAATATCACATAAACTCATATTATTTAAAAAAAAAAAAAAAAAAAAAAAAAAAAAAAAAAGGGAGTGGGGCTTCCAGGCACTTCGTGCCTTCTAGCCCTGAGGATGAATGAGTATAATGAAGTTTTTTTTTCTTGGGGGATGGCTTCCAGGCACTTCGTGCCTTCTAGCCCCCGAAGATGTTTAGTATAAATGAAGTTTTTATTCGGAGGTCTTCCAGGAGCTTTTCACAAAATATAAATGTTTTCATGTTTTGTCAAGACTTCATCGTAAATGTTTTGTCAAGACTTCTTCGTAAATGTTTTGTCAAGACTTCTTCGTAAATGTTTTGTCAAGACTTCATCGTAATGAGCGTAAATGACCCAAAAATATAATTTAGGTGAAGAGGTGAGATGTCACCTCTTTTCTAACCTCTTTTCTCACCTCTTGAATTTTCATGAAATTTACACCAAAAATAATGTTTATGTTAGAATGTTAGATCTAACACCTTTTCTAACATGTTTTCTAACATCGTGAATTTTCATGAAATTTACACCAAAAATAATGTTTATGTTAGAATGTTAGATCTAACACCTTTTCTAACATGTTTTCTAACATCGTGAATTTTCATGAAATTTACACCAAAAATATACTACTAGGGTCATTTACGAAGAAATCTCAACAAAGTCTTTACGATGAAATCTTAACAAAACATAGACAAGAAAGTTCATGAGAAATTAGATGAAGAAGTCTTAACAAAGTCTTTACGAAGAAATTCATGAGTTTTCTACGATGTTAGAAAACATGTTAGAAAAGGTGTTAGATCTAACATTCTAACATAAACATTATTTTTTGGGTCATTTACGCTCATTACGATGAAATCTTAACAAAGTCTTTACGAAGAAGTCATAACAAAACATCTGTCAAAAACCGCTTTTTAACTTCACTTAAAATGCCACGTAAGCTACGTAAGAATATACGTAAGAGGAAGAGAGCATTGAAACATCCAATAGTAAGACTAACACCACAACAACAGTTGCAACAACAAATGCTGAATGACCCCACTATGTTGCAACAAATGTCAAGCAATCCTATGCTTTTAAACCGAGTCATTGGTGCACAGAGTGGAGGTTTAAGAGCGGCACTTTTAGCGAAAATGGCAGGCTATGGTGGAGCCGCAGACGGAACAGCTTATAACCCTCAAAGTCAAATGAATTTGAGTTCACTCAAAAATCAAATATCAGATGTCAAAAAGTCAAACATAGACATACAGAAGCAAATAAGTGAAAACGAAAAGAAACTAGAATATGACAGACACACAAAGAAACTCAATGAGTTAAACGTAGAGAAAAAGAAGAAAGAAGAACAACTGAAAGAACTAAGTACAGAGGAATATGCGAAAAAAGTGTCAAAAGCAGCAGAAGTAGCAAAAATGGAACAAGATGTCATAAATTTGAAAAACCATACTACTCGATATAAAGTACTGAAAGATGAAGAGATAAAACAAAAAGCCCTGAAGACATATATGGATAGCGATGAGTATAAAAAAAGAAGTTGAAGCAAATGTAAAGGCAGAAAAACTTTTACAGTTGCAAAACCAAACCGTACAGTATGAAAACTTAGCACAAGAAAGTAAAAATAACGACGCAGCCATGCAAAAGGCAATGAAAGCGCAAATATATAAAAGCTAATAATGACTGGTTAGATGCCCAAGCCAACGCTAAAGCAGCCCAACTCATAGGGTCAATAAGGACAAAAATACAAGCGGATGAAGACAGTTCAAATGAAGCTTTAACAAATGCTGACTTTAAGAACGCTTTCGAAGCTCTTCATAGTAAGGTGAAACAAGTGAACGACTTCTCATCTGGAAAGAAACTGAAGTCTGAAGGTTTCGACAAAGAGTTAAAAGAAGTAGCACAAAATATGACGAAAATAACAGATGCAGCAACGAGACAGGCAGTTCAAAGTGCCTATGACGCCGTTAGAGCAACTGTTGTGAAAAGTCAAGAAAAAGAGTTACAACAGACCAAAACAGACCTAGTAAATGCTTTCTTAAAAACGAAAAGTCAGGTAGGACATTACGCTGCAGATGGAACATATGTGCCAGCTGGTGGAACTTATATACCACCAAACCCTCCAAGAGAAGCACCTGCACCAGGACTACCTAGAACATTTACATCGTCACATGGACACAGACACAGGCATGCACCAAAACAACAACAACAACCAACAGTTCAAAATCCAGCACCACAACCAACAGTTCAAAACACTACACAGCAACCAACAGTTCAAAACCCTGCACAACAACAACCACAAACAGAGCAAGGACATAAAAGAAGTAGAGAACAAGGAAACCAAGAATTCTTAAAAATGCTTAAAGAAGAGTGTGGTTTCCCAGATACTGTTGACTTTAGTGACAGATATAAAGAAGCTATTGGAAAGTTCAAGGATGGAAATACTGACCCGAACCTATTTAGCTTTATGGCTCAGCACCAAAACGGATATAATCTCAAACCTGGAAAATACAAGCTCGCTAAGGGATATGATTTAATAGCATATCATCCAAATGACATGGATGAATTTACTCCGAGATATTTGATGTCAGAGCTAAATGACAATTCAACTTTCGTCATGAAACGCGTAAAAAATAGAGACGGAACGAAAGAACAAAAGCTTATGAATGCGGATGACGTAGATAGGGAAATTGTTGAAAACGGTCTCGGAATATATGAAATGCCAGCAGATGAGGTACAAGAAACTCCACAGGAAGAAATAGTTCAGATACAACCAGACATGGAAGAAATAGTTCAGCAACAACAGCTAGAAGAGCCTGAAGGAAACGAACAAGTCACTCCTTTGGAAACTAACTTCACAGAACTAGATGAAGATTTGGAACAGCCGAAAAATCTTGACCCTCAACAAGAGCATGAGGTGAATATGGAATCTTTCCAAGAGTCTAAAAAATTCGGCTGACATAGTAGAAGAATATCGAAAAATGTTTGCCGACATACAAAAGACTCCAACACCAGATGAAAATATCAGCATAGAATGGAAGAACTGAAAAAAAATGTACACAAATACAACAACCCTTTTTACTTACGAGCATTTAACGTTCAATCTTCGGATGAACTCGGTGAAGATAAAAGGTTAAATTTCAAGAAAACATATAGAAATGAAACATTGTTTAAAGTTCATTCAGAACCTAACCAAGATGGAAACAAACCTACTTTTGTTTCTGCAGACGATGGAACTACAATGAGATGGGGTCATAAAGCTAATCCAGATAGGTGGTTCATAAACTTACAACCACAATTCCAAGAAGTTGTAGACGCAATGGAAGTCAATGGTGAACCAGATATAGCTGGTATTTTCAGCGCGGCTTTAATGCCATTGAAAGATATGAAACATGCAGATATTTTGGACCAGTATGAAATGAACATGGCTGATGGAAATATAACACCTGACGTTCTAGAACATTTATCTCAAAGAACTACACAGAACCATAGAGATGGTATATTTGGTGAAGAGTTTAGAAAGAAAGTTAGGGAGAGAGAAGGAAGAGAACCTATTGTACATGACCTTGCAAACGAAAGTTTGCAAAATGTCATAAAAACTTACTTTGCAGACAATGAACCGAGAAGGGATGAATATTTAAGAAAACTCAAATGGACAGTACCAAATGAAATGTTAGTATTGAAAAACATGTTCCTTGACAAAATAAAACCAACTACAGAAATAAACGACGCAAGACTGAAAGATTGGGTAAAAGCTTTCCCATTCACAAAAGATATTGTTGGTAACATGGAAAGAAAACCAGAATGGCTACAAAAACATATATTTGGAAACGAGCTTATTCCATATGGACAGGCACTGTTTGAAGAGCTTGAACCAGAAACTCAGGAAGAGTCATGCAAACAATAAAGGAAGACTCAAATACAAACTATGACAAAATCTTTCTAGGATATAGGTTACCTGAGATGGGCGACCAGAGCCAAAAGGCAAAAAGGACATGGGAAATTTGCAACATACTAGATGAACATAATGCAAAGATGCAACAACTTCAAGCAGAGGGCAATGAAGGAAAAAGAAGAGTTAAAAACTCAGTCAGGAAGAAAGTAAAGCTTGGTCCAGTGGGTTCTATTATGACATATAAATCCAACTATTCTATATTTTTACTCATATGAAATGTACGCCGCTCAGAATATAACGCCAACAGTTTTGGATGCTATGAATGGAAATGTTTCCGAATGGTATAACGAATGCGACAATGCCATTAGAAGGTCAGAAATAGTTCCTGGAACTTACGAATATACAACTGCTGTTTCTTATGGAAACGTAGGTGAGTTTGGAGAAGGTTCTTCAACAACAGTAGATATTGCTTGCGACAGGTTTCATATAATTTCTATTGACAACTCTTCTTATACGTGGAACAAGACATTGAAATAAAACCTTCTGCCAAGTTGTCTGACAAGAAAGGTTGCAATGGAATTTTCTATGTCGGATACCAATATGCTCCAGAAGTTTTCATGGGATATAAGATATATTCTAACTCTGACTTAGTTCAAACAGTAACATGGGCAAACTATGAATGGTTCGCTTTGAGAAACTCAGTACAACCACAAGCTAGAGAACAAACAGACCAGTATGCAACTATTGAGAAAATAAGAAGACTTGACCCTAACGTTCCAGGAGTTTATGTTAACCTTTCTGGACAAACTGCAGCAGCAGTAACCAAAGTAAAACTGAAACTTAGAGTTCCTTTGTCATCTTTCCTCATCTTCAGGTTTTTAAGATACTTGCCAAACTGGGCAGGAAAAATTTCTATCGAACTTACTCCAAGCAAAAATAACTTAGTCATTGCACCAACACAAGACCCATTCACTCTTACAGAAGTAGTGGGAACAAATAAAATGTCATTCGCCGACTTTTGCAAAAACAAAGTTGACTTAGACTTTGGTTTCTCAAACCTCAACACTGAAGTAAACTATTATTTCAATGCTGCTGGAGATGCTTGGGACCCAGTTAAGTTCACATGCGAAAAATTTGAATGCAAGAGAATAGAAAGCAGACTTGCAGTCTATATGTTGGACCCAGATATTTCAAATGCTTTAGCTGCCAAATATATTGCAGTTCCACTTATGTTCCCTATACACCAAATATCTGTCAAAGACTTTGCAGGTGAAGTTGGAAACCAAAGTGCTGACCCAGGTGCAAGAACAGATATTGCCTTAACAACTGCAATGAAACATGCAGATACTATGTTTGTACTGTTCAGACGAACTATAAATGACTATTCTTGCTTCTACAACCCTGGTATTAAATACCATATAAACATAGATGGCAAATATATCCAAGAGAAGAATATTCTACAGTTGAATATGAGGTCATACAACTTGACATTAGATGCTATGAACTTTAACAACAACTTCACAACAACCATTAACCCTGAAATGCAAAGTTCTATTATGCCATATGTGAAAGTATGGACTCATACAGGAGGTCAAAAAACTCAATATACAAATGGAGACCGTTCAAACTTTTGGCTTGGCATTCCATTTGCTGACTCAGAAGACTTTATGGGTGGTATTTCAACTGTTGGTACAGTTCAAATACAATATACTGGTGACAGAGACGGTCCAGATGAATTGAGAGCAAAGAAGTTTACAAAACCAATAGCACTTTTCACGGAAGATGCTCTTTTGAAGATTCGTTCGATGAAACCTGCTGGGGCTCCTCAGATTGGCATAACGACAGCTTCCATCGAGCAGATTTTGGCAGCAGGTCAGTAAGTTGTTCTTGAACTGACTTCTCTCCGTCAAATATTGACAGTACGCCAGTTTTGACATAAAATTGTAAGATAAACTTTCCTTTAGAAATATCGGTCAGTTTTGAAGTTATATTTTTGTCTGCTTCAAGAACTTTCACCATTTCAGTTATACCAACTTTCTTTGCTTTATGAAAATATTTTGGTTCAGCAAATATTGCTATTCTATAACATTTTCCATTGTTTGTATAAAAGAACTATTCTGTCAATGAACTTGTATTGTTTGTGTGTGTAAACTTTGTTTTGCTTCAATTCGAAGAGATACTCAAATACGTCCATCTTTTTATTCTAAGTAAAATGTCATTTCCGAAAAATAGAAGCGTAGTGTTTCAAAAGGTTTAATGGCGATGGCAGATGTGAAGTTAAATTCACCAACTCAAACAAACAGTCAAAGTGTTGTTGTCAATGTCAAAGACAGAGATGTTGAAGTGGGGAAACCATACGAAGACGAAGATGGTATAACAATTGTTCCTGTAAAAGAACAACCAACATATCCTGAAGTTAGCAGAGACTTAAGTTCTGTTGCAGATATTCGAAACGACTACCAACAACTTAAAGACAAACTTAAAACTCAGGAGAAGATTTGTCAAGCTTTGGGTATAATGTTAAACTTGGTCGAACACAACCCTGTAAAAGTGAACTCATATGTCATTGCACCTCATGAAGTTTTGAAAGAACTATTGAAACTTTTGACAGAGGCAGACGATATAAACATCAAAGAAATAGAACCCGACATTGCTTGCTGTGGTGTTTCATATAATGTCATTGACAAGATATACGTTATGAAAGGAGGTGAACGTTGAACTTAAAATATAGTTTCCCAGACGTCATAAAAATATTTGACGACCACAACATTTCATTAAAATTTAGTTGCTAAGTAAATGGCAGAAGACATAGTGGTTTATACTATTACGACTAAAACCCTGAGTCATATAATTCTATAACAACAAACTTACAAAGTCCTCAAGGACGATATTGTAAACTGACCTTAAACACGATGACGACTAAAGCCTGTTTTGCTCTTTTGACACCAGAAGACTTTGTTGTTGTGAATGGTAAAAAATACTTCTTTGAAGATACTTACTCAGATATACCACCAACAGGTTTTGTTGACTTATTTAATACTTTAAGGACGGATGTAACATGTGCTGCAACTAGAGCAGGTTTCATTATGTTTGGATGTCCGACCGAGTTTAGTATAAACGATATGAGCTATAATACAAAACTTATATCTGGTTTTTACTACCAACAGTTTCCTATAACAGGAAAAGGTGTCATACAAGGTTTGTCTGTTCCATTGACTTTAAGTACACCTATTTTATATATTGTTTCAAACTTAGGTTCAAAGTGTATTCGAATGTCGACAGAAACTACTATGACCAAAAGATACTCATGCGTATAAACAACACTTTCTCTGCTGGTTTGCCTATTGTTCATTCGAATGCAGAGTTTTCAGCTTTAGTAAACTCAAACACTTTAGCAAACATAAACTTAACCTTAGTTGACGCAAACTTTGTTCCTGTAAAACTTTTATGTCCTATGTATTTGTCAATGACGGCAGAAAGTTTCGAATTGGAAGATGCAACTGGTGAAAGTATTGTACTACAAGAACAACTTCAACAACAAATAGCTCAAGAACAACAAATGCAACAAATGGAACAAATGCAACAACAAAGTCAAGAATAAAAAAAATATTTTTTTTATTTTTATAAAAATGTACAGAATAGACGTTTCAGATTTTTATGACTTCCAAGCGTTCAGAAATATGTGTCCATTTAGAGACTATAACAAAGCAGTCGAGAATTTGAAACGTTTAGTCATTTATGTCGACTCTGCCCCAGAATGTTATGTCATGAAAGAATGGGATGTTGTCTTTAACAAACCAAGAGCGACAATAGTTTCAGAACAAGAATGTAGACAGAAACTTAAGAAAATAAAAGTCGTACAAGTTGGTATGAAGATGTTAGATGCTTGGGATATCTTATTGTCAAAGTTAGAAGATTTTTCAGTTCGTGGTATAAAGTTCTATACACCATCTCCAAACTTCTATTCTATCTTCACTGGATATAAATAGAACAAGTAGAATGGAAAGAAAATATTATAGAAGCTTGGTTAGACCATGTCAAAGAAATTATATGCAATGGAAACGAAAGAGTCTATGAGTATATCTTATGTTGGTTTGCAAACATCTTACAACATCCAAGTGCTAAAAATGAAACTGCTCTCATTATAATTGGAAAACAAGGAACTGGTAAGAACACTTTCTTTACAGATATTTTGTGCAAACTGTTAGAGGGCTATTCGAACCCTAATATGACAAACTTAGAAAACATCTGCGGTAAATTTAACTCCTCAATAGAGAATATGAAACTTATAGTATGTAACGAACTTCAAAGTATAGATACAACAAAGGTTTTAAACTCAGATGCTTTGAAGAGTCTTATAACAGACAAAGTTGGAGTTGTTGAAAGAAAGTATAGAGACCAAAGAGTTTGTGAAAATGTTGCAAACTTCGTCATGGTTTCAAACAATGTTGTTCCGATGAAGTTAGAAAGTTCTGACAGAAGATATGTAGTTGTCAGAACGTCAGATTCTCATATGCAAGATACAGAATATTTTGACGACTTAGCAGAAACTTTGACACCTAACTTTTACAACCACTTGTTCTCATATTTCATGACATTAGATATTTCTAAGTTCAATCCAAGACAAATTCCATATACCGAAGAGAGACAAACATTGTTAGAAGCAAACAAGAGTGTATATGAACTGTTTATAGATGAGACTAACTTTGAGTGTTTAGATGAAAGGTCATTGTACGATTCATATAAACAATATTGTCAAGAGTATGGTTATATGGCAGCTTCTAAACGTACATTCTTGGCAAATGTCAAAAATCTTTTAGATGTTCAGAACGGCGTATATACAAAGAAAAATTTTTCTGAGTAAATTTTAAAAAAATATTTTTTTATCCGATAGAAAAGATGACGAAATATATTTCAGTCAACAAATATATGTCAGGACTTAAAGAAGAACTAGACCCATTCGCTTATTTGAATGTTTACTTCTACCATTTTGAAAAGTCTACATATGACAAAGTTTGGAACATCGAACCAGTTAAGTTTGCTATTGTGACTAAAAGTGGTGCAACTTTTGAAGACTTAGAGATAGAAGGTTTGTTAGCAGTCAAAGAAAGTTTTGACAGAAGGTTTTCAAACCTTAAAGAAGGCAAAGCATACAAACTTGTTATACCTTATGAACCAAAGAAAGCAGACGACTATGAATATTATGAGTCTAAGATAGTTGAAGTTCAAGGTAAATTGGGTAAAAAGATTTTAGAGTCTAAGCCAGTGTTTGCTCCTAAAGAGGAAGAGAACATTGACATTGACCCAGAAATGTTCTAAAAATAAAATTTTATTTTTACATGTCAAATTTCTTTTTCTCTGGCTCTGGCTCTGGCTCTTTCTTCTCTTCTTCTACTTTCTTTTCTTTCTTCTCTCTCTTCTTCTTCTTTTCTGGTGGAGTTATGTCAAACTTCTCAGAACCATATTTATGTAAAAGTTCTTTGTCCTTTAATAGCTCTTCTATTCTGTTTCCTATTTCATCTTCAAGAACAGCGCATGTGTCTTCTTTGCATTCTAAGAACTTTTGTTGGACTTCATCTTTCCAATCGGCGTCATCTCTGTCAACAAGTCTGTCATTGACAAATTTTAAGACTGCTCTTTGTAATGTTTTATGGTTCTTGTCATATTCCGAGAAACAGAACTTTAGAACAAATTCACCTTTCTTGTTTACACTATGTAAGATTTTATGGTCGACAGAAGTTTTAGAGTCGAAAAGTTTGTCTCGAATATAGATAGCGAAATCGCTAGACATTTTCTAAAAGATAAAAATTTTAATTTTTCTAAAAATATGTTAGAAAAAAAGTTTGCTGACATTGACAAGAAATTTGAGAATGTTTTAAACAAGAACAAGAGGAAGTTAGAAAATGCTCAGATAAAACCTACATGACAAGTTCCTATTTGCTCAGAATGGTATACAGGTCTAATCGCACCACCTGGGTCGGGTAAGACTTTCACTTATCTTAAAATGGCTGCACAACAACAAGAACTAGATGAGAAGAACCCATTCTATGAGTTAGTTGTTATTTGTAGTACTTCTGGTCAATTTGACCAAACCGTCAATTCGTTCAAAGATATTATAAAGAAGTCTAAGTTAGTATGTATAAAAGACTCTGAGTTGTTAGATTGGATAAAGAAGTACCAAAGAAGAGTTTTGAAGTATAATGCTATAAATGAGTATATAAACTCGAAGTTTAAAGACCCAAATGAGGAAATGCAAAGAATATTAGAGAAGAAACACTTCAGAAACAAACAGAAAGAGATAGAATACATTTCGAAGAAATTGCAATCTTACGATTGGAAGACTTACCCTCATAGATGTCTTCTTATCTTAGATGACTTTGCTTCTCATCCTTTGTTAAAGAACAGAGAACAAGATATGTGTCGAATTCTTAAGAAGCTCAGACACTTTAACATCTCAGTTGTCATTTGTGTACAGACAGCAAAGAGTTTAAGTAAAGATGTTAAAAGAATACTTACTGACATTATACTACTTTTCCCTGGATTGTCCGAAGACGATTTCATGGAACTTATGAAAGAGTCCATGGCAGGTAAGTTTGACAGACATGAACTATGGGAGAAGTACAAAGTCATACAAGACCCTCATACTTCTTTCAGAATTCACATCTACGCGAACAAAGTTCAAATTGTAAAAAGTCAAGCTTGAAAAATGTAAGTGTTTAGTCTTAGTAAGTCTGTTGTGGTGCTGGGGCTGTCGGTTCTTCTGGCTTTGGAAGACATTCAGGAAGAGGAACGTCGGACATTCGTTTGTGTCCTGTCGGAAGGAAGAACTTTTCCTGTTGTCGGGAAATTTTTTTCCTGTTGGAAGGAAGGACTCGGAATGTCGGAAGGAAATTTTTTTCCAGTTGTCGGGAAATTTTTTTCCAGTTGTCGGGAAAAATTTTTCCAGTTGTCGGGAAAAAAGTTCTCAATTTTCGAAAATTTGAATGGTTTACAGACGGACAACAGGAAAATTTTTTCCAGTTGTCGGGAAAATTTTTTCCAGTTGTCGGGAAATTTTTTTCTTGTTGGAAGGAAGGACTCGGAATGTTGGAAGGAAGGACTTGGAATGTCGGATGGAAGGACTTGGAATGTCGGATGGAAGGACTCGGAATGTCGGATGGAAGGACTCGGAATGCCAGAAGGAAGGACTCGGAATGTCGGAAGGAAGAACTTGGAATGTCGGAAGGATTTGACAAGGCAATATACTTTATAGAGCTACCTGAGCCATCTGAAGTCAAGCTTGAAAAATAAATGGTTCATTTACTCTGCTTGTTTGAAGTTGTCAAAATACTCTGTTATTTTTTCCTTCAGTAGCGGTAAGTCTTCTTTGAAGGTAAGAATTGTACAACCTTTCATATCATAGTGTGTTTGAGGTAACGTATCTTGAACTATTTGTTTCACATCTTCATTCGGTGTCATTGAAATCGGTAAGTTTTCGCGATAGAACCAATTTCTGTCAGATTTGTAAATCTTAGCAAGGTCGTAAAAGCTTTTGTTGTTTCTTCTGACTAAATGCAACATAACCATATCTTTATCTTCTTCATTTTCCATCTCTTCAGTATAAATCATATACTTATAGTTCTTTTCCTTTCCTTTTGGTACCGAACGTGGTATTCTTTTCTGAATGCTTTTGTCTTTTGCTTCAAGCTTGTTTTCCATCTCTTCACGTTCTTGTCTATGAAGTTCGTCAAGAAGTTTACAAACATACCATGAATAGCGAGCTGAAGCCCATTGTGCCACATTATTTACGAGAAGTCTATGAACATAATATCCTCTCAAACCATTTGGCAAATTTTCACGATTTTCATAGAGTTTTGGCGACTGGGGTTTTTCTCCCACTCGCAATTTTTCACGATTTTCATAGAGTTTTGGCGACTGGGGTTTTTCTCCCACTCGCTGTTCTTCACGATTTTCAGAAAAAAGTCTGTCTCGCTGTGCTTCATTTAATAGTTCAATAGTGCTTTGGTTCCTAAACCAGTCTTTAGGAACCTTAGTATCTGGTGCAAAACATGCTGTCAAAATACTTTGCATTTGGTACATGTCATCTTTGACCGAACGAATGAGACGTAACTGTTTGTTAAACTGAACCCACTCGTATTCTTCACTTATGGCTTCATGAACGATAGCAGTTGTTGTGTTCTCTGTTGTTGACATTTCTGTCTTTACATACAAAATAAAAAAATAAAAAAAAATAAAATTAGCGTTATTTTCTATCTTGTATAAAAGACCAAAAATAAACGCTTTACATGTATTTTTCAGCAACTTCGTCAAATAATTTTATAGCTTTAGCTATCTCATCTACTTCGAAAGTTTCTTTACCTCTCGTGGGAGCACCATACATTTTCTCAAACTTTTCAAGTAGTTCTGTTTCAGCAGCTCTCATATCGTTAACAAACGCAACCTTAACTCTATTGACTGTACTGTCATATCTTTGAGTTATATTATATGTTCTTCCTATCTTATATCTCTTTGTATTGAAGTCCTTCGGTTTCTGAACGATGTAAAGTAAGCCTTCACTGCAACGTTCTGAGTCGAATAAACCATATGTTATGAAATTATATCCAACAACTGGGTCTAACCATAACAAAACTAGTGGTATAAGACTTTTGTCTATAAGATATGTTCTTGTTCCATAGAATCTTACCGATATCATAAGCTCAGGATTTCTTGTCAAAATTTTCTGAGTTGAAGCATTTTTAACCCAGTCGTGGGATGTTTTCTTTTCAGATAGTGTTAAAATGTCTGACAAAGAATATTTGTTGTATTTCTTTGAGTATCTTACGTTTAAATCACCAATTCTAACCAATTTGGTGTCATTGTCTATCTTTCTAACTGTTTCAAACTCAGTGTTTGACATTTCCTGTTCTTACATACAAAATAAAAAAAATATTTTATAAAAAACTAACTTTATTTTTTCTATCTTGTATAAAAGATATGATTTCATAGAATTTTTTTACGAAGTGTAAAAGTTCTCTTCGTCAAAAAAACACACAAAACTCATGAAATTTCATACGGAATTCAGTAAAAATAAAGTTTATGTTAGAATGTTAGATCTAACCTGTTTTCTAACATGTTTTCTAACATGGTCTAAAACATACAAAACTCATGAAATTTCATACGGAATTCAGTAAAAATAATGTTTATGTTAGAATGTTAGATCTAACATGTTTTCTAACATGTTTTCTAACATAACTATTTACAAGCGTTTTACATGGTATATGTTGCGATGGTTCATGACTCTAAACAATTTCGTAGCTTCTATTTCTTCTTTTAGTATGTCAAAAGTTTTAACGATACCGAAAGTTTCTTTATACTTCTTCTTGACGTCAGATAGAAGGAAATCTTCTGCTGTTGGATAGTTTTTGTTCAGAAATTCTAACATGTTCATTTTATCTTCTGCTGGTTTTTCTGCTTCTTTCTTTAAATCTGCATAGTCGTTTCGCATACGTTCTATCTCTTTGACGGAGTAGTTATATTTCCTCATTGCTGCTTTACATTTTGAACATTGCGGGTTCATTTTTGCGTTATATTCTGAAACCTTACCTGCAAGTATGACCAAGGCGTCAATGGTTTTCTTCATCTCGAACATAGCGGGTTTTATTTGTTCGTTCCATACCTTACCCCTACTATCTTTATCTCTTATTTCCCAAACACATTTTGCAACTAACGAAACAAAGTTGTCGTAGGTCTTAAATTCTTCGGATTTATATATGTCAGAGATGTTCTTATATACCATGTCGCAGTCTTTGTCCATAACCTTATGGTTGCAATGAAAACCAAGGAATTCATAATTTACCTTTCGTATGAACTTCTTTATTTCTACTGAGTCAGTTGCTTTGACTTCTATTTCGTCAAATTCGGGAATGGTTAGTTTTTGTTGTTGGATTTCAGGTAGTTTAGGCAAATGGTCAATAATGTCCTGCATTTCATAAAGATACTGTTCATTTGTTTCATCTTTCGCACTACAGTCTAAATTACTTGTTAACAGTTCTTGCTTTATCTTCTGGATTTTTGTTTCGAAAGTATATGAAGAAGGAATGAAGCTTTTCATCTCTACTAACATAGATGTTGGATTCATGACTAACGAGTTTGGTGCTGTTGTTGCTAACATGTTCTTACAATAAAAATAAAAAAATATTTTTTTTAAAAAACTAACTTTATTTTTTATTTCGGGAAAATTCATGAAAATTCAAGAGTTTCAAGAGTTTTAGACCATGTTAGAAAACGTGTTAGAAAACATGTTAGATCTAACATTCTAACATAAATTATATTTTTGGGTCTTTTACGCTCATTACGAAGAAGTCTTGACAAAACATTTACGAAGAAGTCTTGACAAAACATTTACGAAGAAGTCTTGACAAAACATTTACGAAGAAGTCTTGACAAAACATTTACGAAGAAGTCTTGACAAAACATTTACGAAGAAGTCTTGACAAAACATTTACGAAGAAGTCTTGACAAATTCAAGAGTTTTAGACCATGTTAGAAAACAGGTTAGAAAACATGTTAGATCTAACATTCTAACATAAAATATATTTTTGGTGTAAATTTCATGAGTTTTCTACGATGTTAGAAAAGAGGGTAGAAGACAGGTTAGATCTAACATTCTAACATAAAATATATTTTTGTCGAAAAAAAATGGTTCATTTACTCACAATATTTTTGTACAAAACGACCCCAAACTTTTAACTTCTTTTCTGCAGCTTCTAATGTTATCTTAGCGAGTTCATATTCTCTAAATTCTCTCTTTAAATCTTCTTGTTCCCATTGGTCTAGTTCGTATGGAGAATCTCTATAACCAGAACATATCTCACGTTCATGTTCTATTTGTTTTTCATGCATTTTTCTAACTTCTTCTTCGAACAAAGGTTTTGCATTCTCTACTGTATCTTCAAGTTCTTCTTCATCTAACTTCTCATGAACTTTCTTGTCTATGGAGTCCATAATTTTTCCAACTGCTATACAATATTTTGGAGAAGCCCACATTGCTATATAGTTTACGAGTCTTGGTCTACATACATTCCTCTAACCTGTTTGATTTCATCCGGAATTCCTGCATTAACATTGTATAAAAAGCAACCCGCGGAATTCCGCGGGTGGTATATTCTTCACAAAATGCCTTAAAATACTCTTCCCAGGACTTATTTTCCAACAACCTTCTAAAGTCTTTCCTAAACTGCTGACACATATTTGTTGCATTTATATAACCATCCTTGTCTCTACGTAAGACTTCAATACCGTTGTAAGTGCCTTTTGTGAATGTTTCGCCATTAGATTTGTTCGTGAACGTTTTTGCTTCGACTGACATTTCTGTTCTTACAATAAAAATAAAAAATATTTTTGGTGGGACGTCGGACATTCGTTTGTGGCTTAACCGTCGGACCACAACGATAAAAATCTCGACAAAACAATATACGATGAAGTCTCAACAAAACATTTACGATGAAGTCTTAACAAAAAATATACGATGAAATCTATTCCTGTGTTGTTGTCAAAATGTCATGTTGTCACACTTTTTCAAAAAGATGTTAGTTGACCGAGTGACCGAGTGACCGAGTGACCTGGTCGCCTAAAATATATTTTTTTCTATCTTAAGGAAATTCATGAAAATTCACCTGTTGAATTTTGTATAAAAAGCAACCCGCTGTTTTCCGCGGGTTGGTATATTCTTCACAAAATGCTTGTTTTGAGGTCGAGCCACTTTTGGCTCCACCTCTTTTTTCAACCAAAAACTCATTTTTGTCGAATTCAGCACTTTTCCGTAGTTATATATGAAAGACAATTCGGGATGAAATTTCTTCATCTGATATAGTCCTACCAGCGTTTGTAAAGATATAGTCTAACGGTTTTGTATCTGCTACTTTTGTTCTTTGTTTTTCAACCTGAAGCATTTAATATATGTAAAAATATACTGTTTTAAAATGGTATGCCATATAGCTTCTTGAATTTGTTAAGAAGTATTTTAACGTGTTTTCCATCTGTATCTCTAGTGTTTACATAAGCATAGCCTTCCTTAGTAAAACATACTTGTAATTTCCTATAGTTTACGCCGGTATAAAAGTAGAAAGAGTCCTGTTCTTCGCTATAGTAGTAAAACTCAAACGTATGCTTGCCATAGTCTGTAATTTCAATTGCTTCATCTTCTAGTTCGTCGACAAATTCGAATACTATATCTCCAAATTTGCCTCTGTTCTTATTGTTTTCAGAACGAGTGACCCAGCGTAAGTTTTCAAGTCTATTGTCGTTTCTTATACGGTTTATATGGTCTACAAAAGGTAGATTGTTAGGGTTCGGTATAAAATGAGTTGCAATGACAATATGTTTAAAATAGCATTTCTCACCAATCCTCATCCTAGCATATCCGTCATTTCGCTCACATTCGCTTAAAACTCTTTTTGTCTTTTTGTTTCTGACTTCAAATGACTCACAACAGTGAATTTCATATTTCTCATCTAACAAACAAGTTTCCCAACGGTCTGTTCCAACAAACTCAGCGTACATTTCAAATAAAATAAAAAAATGTTTTTTTAAAAAAATGTTTTATTTCATGCAATGTTTTATTTCATGCAATGTTTTATTTCTGTGCCGTCTTCAAGTATACCCCAGTACTTCCTTTTCGATATTACATGAACTTCGGAAAATACCTTGTCTAGCTTAAAACAGCCCATTTTCTCACCAACTAAACCCATTTCAATGAGTTTGTTATAGCCTTCTTCGTTCGTCATGAGTGCGTCAATGTTCTCATAGTATACCTTCACTTTGGATTTAACCTCTGAGAAGAATTTGTTGTAGTTGTCAAGGACTGCCTTTGCGAACTGAGGGTAAGACCAATGTTCGACAATAGGTTTTACTGTGGTTACTAAGCCACTTTGACCTTCGGTAAATTCGTATTTCAAAACAAAAGGGGAGAACCTTTCAACAAAGTTGTCGACCTTCTCATAATGTTTACTCTTCATCTCTTGAGGTTTTTTAATGGAATACCCCCATGTCGAATTCATAAGCAATTTGAGTGTCATTGCAAGTTTGGGGTTTGAAGCTTTCCTAATATCATACAGTTGTTGTATGACTTTTCCAACTGTATAGTTCCTTCCTGGGAACTCACCGTCTTCGTTTGGAATTCCAGTTGGAATATATTGGACAAACCTCATGTACGC